CCTCGATCGGATGATGTTGGCCAAGCTATCTGGATTAATTAACACATGCTTAACTCGAGATTTATTTATGAGTACAAATATTACTAGTGCATCGGTTTGGGGCTGCACGATTGCTTCTATATCCTCATCGTTGAAAGACAAAGTTCCTTCTGGTATGTAATCTTGAGTCCATTTTTCCCTTGTGATAGATACTTTCGTGCATTTTAACATCGGCCCTTGGGGAACATTGACCCCACCAATGAAAATGTTAATGACGTGTTACGGTTCTTCTTGCTCGGTCTGTTTATTAAAATCCCTATTTCTGAAATGGTTCTTGGCTCGGTCGCTCGGGAATTCTCGAAGATGCTCGTTGTTGAATAACTGGCTACCTCCTCCCTCAACTGTCGATAATCCTTTGTTCTATGGTCATGAGTGCCATGATGTTTGTGTATCGAGTTTGGATCCCTTTGGGCTGAGCCGGATTGTAGAGGTCGAGGCCATTTGGTATCTTTGATGCCTCTGATAGCTAATACGATGGCAGTAACATCGACATTAAAGTTATATTCTGATAACCTTGGTGCTTCTTTAGGCGCAATAGGACTGTCAAAACCGTTCTTGCTCATGAGTCCCCGACTGCTCTGGCCTCGGTCATTTCTCCTTTCATTTCGCATAGAACTCCGTTCGGACCCACTAATTCTTCGATCCCCATTGTACGGCCGGTATTGATCCATGTCCGACCTTTGTTCATGGTCGATATCCCTCTTAACTATGTCGATGGGTCTAACAGGATAACGGACTCGGAAGGAGCCCCCAATTTATCATCTTCGACTCCAATTTTCGATTGATATCGATTATGCACATCAACCCAAGCAATGGCCGGATACTCTATCAGATTCTGTTTCAATTTATGTGAAGTCACCAAACTTCGAACATTGAGTCCTTGGGTGAAAACTTGAATGGCCCAATCATCAGAGACCGGTCGTAAGTCCATCCGTTCCATTTGAAACCGAGATACGAACTCTCTAAGCATCTCATTATCCTTTTGTCTTACTTTGATGAGGTCCGACTTCTTGGTCTCGACCTTAATATCCCTAGTGTGTGCTTTCATGAAAGAGTCTGCAAGCATAGTAAAAGAGTCAATAGAATTAGGAGGTAAGTTGTGATACCATATCATAGGTTCCTTTGACAGGGTTTCTCCAAATGTTTTCAGCAAGACACACTCGATCTCATCCTCCTCCAAGTCGTTTCCTTTGATGGCGCATCTATAGGAAGTGACATGCTCATTTGGGTCAGTTGTTCCCTTGTACTTAGGAATCTCAGGCATGCGAAATTTTTTAGGGATCGGCTTCGGAACCGCACTCGGAGGAAAAGGTTTTTGTATGAACTTTTTGGAATCCAAGCCTTTCAGTATCGACGGTGCTCCCGGATTTGGTTGACCCTGGAATTGTACGTTTTCACCTTTTTGTCGTTTGCTTCGATTTTCTTCTCCCCTAATTCTATCTGTTTTGTAAGTTCCTCGAGCATTTTAAGATCTCGGGGTTGGGACCGACTCATTTTCATTTGACATCTTCGCGGCCGGTTCTTCCCTGCGAGTGATTTTCCGAGACGAATAGGGTTCAATTCTGCTTGGTGTGCGGCTTTGGTTCTGTAACTAAGCTATCACCGTCTATTGATCCTATAACATTTCGAAAGATCATCTGTAGATTGATCCCGTCTCCTCCATTATTTTGAGTATTTTGCGTTGTCGATAGGGCTCCACCACGGATGCTATTCTCAGGGTTAGTAGGTAGGTTTGTGTCGATAGCCACATGCGAGTTAGCGTCCAACGGGTCCGCAATTGGAATTCTGACAGGATTCGTTACTGGGTGCTATGTTACTATTTTCACCATGGTGACTTGACTCATTATCAACAGGTGAGGGTGCTAATTGTGAATTTGACATTTTGAGCTTAAACCTGAAATCAGAGACACTTCAAAGAACAAGTGTAAAATAGTGTGTGTTATGAAAATTTATATCAAATAACCACTATTTTCCTTAGCACCACGGTGGGCGCCAAACTGTTTGCCCTCAAAATCGGATAACAATTGAATTTGTAAGTAATTTTAACGATACGTGAATTAATTTGACACAAAGCGATAAATTGAATTGTAATTAAAGCGAACAATGATAAAGTAAATTCAAACCATACGACTTGAACAATTATAGCCTTGAAAAGTAAGTCTCACTTGAACTGTATGTTATTCGAACGATATTAGATACAGAAGAACAATAGCTTACAGAAAGAAAATAATATTATGTTGCTTTGGGATGTGTGTTACCATGTGTTTTACAAGTAATCAGACCCCCTTTATATAGAAGGAGAGTCCAACTTTAGGTACAATTCTATAAAAGGTAAAAATCTCCTGATTTGCTGATTTGTCGGTTCCTTATTGATACGTGCCAAGATTCCTGTCGTATATTGATAATAGGCTATATAGTTGTTATTTACACCATAATTGCCCATGCTTTGTTGTTGTTTTATAATGTAAGTTGCCAATAAAATGCTTTAATTAATGTTATTTGGTTTCGCAGGGAATATAAGATGTGAGGAAGCAACATGAAGTGTTTAGAGGCAATAACGTGAAGAAAACACTCACTCAAGAAGTACCCAAATACAAAAAGAGCAAAAAGAGAAGGAACGCGGAGACAAAAAGGCCCAGCATACTCACTGCGGTCCGCGCTGCGGTTGGAGTCAGTGTTCTCCGCGGTTAGTGCCGCGGTCGACGCCGCGGCCGCGGCGGCATGTTCACAGTCCAGAAATTTAAGGGGCCAAAGTGTCAATTCGGAAAAACTTTTGTAAAACCCTTATAAGATGTAGGAAACTCGCCTAAGAAAAAGGGGCTTATTTTGAGATTACTTTGGCAAGAAGAACAAGTGTGAGAGATTACCCAAAACATCATAGTTCTTATTCTCTTCTATTTTTCTTGCAATTTTCCATTATGAATATTTTCGTAGTTTATTCTTACGTTGTCATGAGTAGCTAAATACTTTAATCTAAGGTTTTGGTGAAACCCGTTGGAGATGACTTGGTTGTTATATTAATATAGTTTGAATTGGTTGTTAATCTCTACTTGTTCATCTACGTTTTGATTGTGGTTAGTTGAAATGGCCCTCAATTATCCGTTCCTATTTATTATGTATCTTCTTGTGAGAGAGTGCATATTTAGGTAGTTGTTTGAACAACATCACTCCCGGAGTATAGACGAGAGTCATAACCGAGGGTTTAGAGATTGGATTAGAGATAACGATACCTCGGGTGCAATCTAAAAGAACGGTAATGTGAATCTAGCTAGCGTAGCTTGAGAGAGTGCGTCTAGTAAATTATCATAATTGCTTGAGAGAGATTTATGATAGCCGGAGAGTTCTTGATTGATAGAGACAACTAAGGCATCACTATAAGAAACGTACAACCAAGGAAATCACCAACGGGGGAAACCATTATCTTAGACCTTATTCCAACTGTTTACACATCAAGCATAGTTAATTTTCAGCTGTTAATTATTTTCAGACTTTAGTTGTTAGAAACATCATCAATTGTGAATTACAAAGTGTGGGGAAAATTGATTCTGTGAATTTAGTAAATCAGTCAAAAGTAATTGATAGGTTAATTTTCTGTGGTTCGACTCTGGGCAGAATTACTCAGATTATATTTGCTACGTTCGTGTGTGTCTTTGTATAAGGCATAGTTTGGCGTTACCATATATCCGACCGGTCACGAATATTTCGACCTTCTGTTATTTCGGTCTCCTGTTGGTTATACAAATAATATTTTTTCGAGCTCGTTCGGGGTCAGGGTCGATTCCGGGACCATGGACTCAATGTTCTCGAGGACGAATATTCTAACCTCGTGTTCTGGTTCGATGGGATTTGGGGTCGATCTTCAATCCCTCATGTTCTGAGTCTGATCTGTAATATTGTAGACGGGCCCGATTTCGACCGTATACAAATATATAATCTCGTATCAATTTATCATTTAGCTAAAAGATAATGTAAAAATTAGGTATCCGTATTCTTTTCCCCGACTATAACTTGTTAGAAGCTTGTGATCTCATAATTAATTATAGACAGCCAGACAGGTCACAGCCTCATTCATCGTCTTGCTTTACTAATTTAGGACTTAACACCACCTCGCTAAAATTATATGCTCTTGAGATATATGGAACCTTAGGTAAACGGTCTTAATTAGTATCTTTTTCTAGTTAGAAAAGTAGCCTAAACTCTAGTACCCTTTCTTGTAACGAATTAAGATACTTTATCCTAAATTTTCTAGATATTTTTTAAAAGCATTTTCCAAAATATATCCCTCTGTCTCCAATATTAACTGTGGTAGTTTTAGTTTCTAAGATAACTATACTAACTTCTTTACACAAAACTAATATTTTGGGGGAAAATAACTTGAATTTCGTTTGGCTTTGTAAAAACCATGAAAGAATTTTGTCACAAACCGATGCAGCAAAATTAATTCTTTAAGATAGAGATTACTCTATCAAAATCGGTCGTAATTATTTCCCAAAATCTATTATTTTTTCTTAACAGTAGTAGATATACCTTAGGTTTTATGTGTGGTAAATAAACCGAAAGATAAAAGACGTGCTGTCGACGGAGGTGCAATTTAACAAATTAAAATGCGCACATCGGTTGATCAGGAAATTAAAGCAATTATTAATTGTTTCATTAGAATATTTAACTTATAAAGCGATCGAATTAGAAACGGTGAAATAAATCCAAGAAATTAACAAGTTTCTTTTTTAGGAGATTAACGCTAAAGAATATGCCTTTGCGCGCGGCGACATGATTATTGACAAGGAAAAATAGTTATGAAGGAAGACAGACAGCTGGTCCCTAACTATATGCTATATCTAATAAAATTGTGGAGTAACCACAAGGCACCCCCATAACATAAGATAAGATGATGATCAAATTTGATTATGCTCCTCGGAGGTTCTTTACATAAAATTCTGGGCAACTAGTATGTTGTGACCATGAGAGATAGAGAAAGCAAAGAGGACACAACTAATTGTCAGCTACATCCAATTGTTTTTGACTTGAATGAGCATAGGCGGGCCCAAGGTTTGAAAGTGGCTGGGTAATAAAAATTTAAACAATTGCTAGAGTGGGACTCGAACCCACACAACGCACTAAAACTCAAGTAATTGTGCCCCAAATCGACCAATGCAACTGCCTAATCTTGAGTTTTAGGGTGTCAATCATATATACATTTTTCTCGAAATTATCAGGGGCCGGTGACCCCCTACCCTAAGGATAGGTTTGCATCTGTATATAAGACGCCAATTAGCTGATATAAGCTTCGCGCGACACTGTATTTGAAAGACATTGATGAATGTATAAATGATCTTTTTATAAATTTAGTGATTTGGAGGAGATAAAAATTGACATATAAAATTACTTCTATTTATTGATGAAATCAAAATTATTAGATTTTCTTTAGAAAAAAAAAAATCACTTTCAAATCACGCTATGTGTTTAAGTATGCTAATATATCGGGAACACCATATATTTGTGAGACCAGTTTCATAAAACAATTATATCTTTTGTGCCAATATAAGCACTATTAGATTCTTTTCAATTGGCACCATCTACAAAAAGTAAGCATCATTATTGATCTGCATCCAAAGAGGGGAAAAGAAAGAGGAGGCGGCAAATAGATTTTCTAAGTATCAAACAATATATGGTTGCATGTAATATACTCTTTTAGATAAGTGGACAATCTTACGCTAAATCAAAAGATTAGATATGACTAAAGAAGAAATACTCCTTTCAAGAAGTTTGGTACCTTCGATAATCAAGCAAAATTTGTGGAAATTTTTGTTATCTGCTTTCTTCTGTTAGTTATTGAAAGGATGATTGAAGATAACATTGGCAAACCTTAATTAAGAATTTATTTGCCTCCGGTTAGCGTCAGTTATGTACTATATTAAGCACAAATAACAAACAAAACAAAAAGGTAAACAACAATAAGTTTACAGGATAAGCCACATGCACACTTGAAGTAAAGAGTACTACTCCTATTTGATATCATGGATCATGGTGGAGGGTCGACAAATTAAAGAAGTAAGATCATAGCTATCTTCGGCGTAAATGCTAGCTAAATCAAACATACATAAAATAGACCTCATCGCATTCCCGCAGCACATCAATCTTCTCGTAAATTCACTTGTTGACCAGCTTTTAAGCAATCCAGTTTCATACTTTTCAGTGGGCATTTCCTCACATTAATTTATCTTACAACATCAAGGTGCTCTACCCGTTTATATTATCCCTCTAGCTTTCTTTTCTTGCCTTCTTCATCTTTTTGTGTTGTTGTTTTAGAAGCATCATCGTCAAAACTTGAGAGGACAAGCAACACCAGTTTAATGGTAAGCCGGTCACAAATTTCTCTTTCAACAACTCAACAGTAAAGTTGATAAAACATTCAATTCGCTATCCACGGTCAAAGCTTATCACACATCTAATAAGGAGATATCAAATCTTATCACACAGAAATTGAGAAGGAAATATAAATTCATCTTCTAAAGCACTTCCACTCACTATACTTAGCCCTCATTTGTTTGCATTTAATGGTCAGACATTAAGTGCGTTTGTTTTGAATCTTAATTATTCAAATCTTAATTATTAAGTGCGTTTTTTTTACTTCACAACCACTTAATGGGTCTGAATATGTCTGTATGATTAAGATACATAACAGAGACTTAATTTCATTAAGATGCTATCATCCATATCCATTATAATTGTCGTCACCGCCTACCATTATCAACTACCACCATGCCGCCGCCGCCACCATCATCCTCAATCATAGCCACTCACTACCTCCTCATACAAAGGTATCTAATGTTCCTCCTTTATTTTGTGTATGTGATTATTATTTTTGAGAAAACTAGAGTGGCATGAAATGGATGTTCTCTTACTTCCTCCTTTACTCCATCTGAAATGAAGTTGCAAGTACTAGCTTTAGAAGTCTCATTATAATGTGACTCGTTTCGTCATATAACCGGGGCGAGGAAAAAAAAGCCTAAGAATGTAATTTTCTCATACTTCAATGGAGCAGTGTTGATTGAATCCCTGGAAAAATTTTCTGAAACTTTTTAAAGTGTTTTAAAATTTTAAAAACCGAAGCAAGAAACAAAATACGAGCCTTTTCTATTATTAAAATGAAGATAGCAGGATTTTCTTTTAAAACTTACAACTCTATCTTTTTAAGACTATTCAGACGATAAAAGCATACAGGCTAGAATAGACCATATATAGCTTGATCGGGATTATCTCTTTTTTTTTTCTCTTTCTTGGGTTAAAACTTAACAGGAGCCCTATGATAAACCAAAGAACAAAAATTAAAGGAGAAAAGGACACATTCTATGAACGTTTATTAAAATCCTGAAGCTCAGTATGCCCCTCAGCGTACATTAATAGTAGGCATTTGGCATTATTTACTTTAGTGAGTTAAAGTTTATACATAGTACACATGAATCATGTAATACTGTCCCAATTGCCCTGGCTCTATCCCCTGTTCACCAATTGGTATTTACACTTCATTAGTTGTCTGTACAGCTTGCAGACCCTCCATGCTCTCCCCCCTATGTAGCTGTAGAAAACAAAATTACCTCTTCAAGATAGATCAATAAAGTTGGAAGAATCACAATTACTCTACAGAAATTGTAGAATTAGAATGTCTAGTAAATTAGACTCAATTGGTCAATATACTCAATAAAGAACATAGTTATGCTTTGCTTGACGGTGAACATGTGAATACTTGTTTGCTTAAAGCTATGAGTTTGTGACTAATTTCTGTTACACTCCAAAATATGTGTTCTGCTCCACAAAATCACTGAAGCTTAGAGGACATTGTGAATTTGAGCTATTTTTTTAATCCTTTCCAGTGACTACAGCAGAGAACGGGCAGAAGGCTTTGGAGTTGTTGGGCTTGGTAGAGGGACAATACAGCAAGAGTACTAGAGTAAACAGTAACTTTGAAACAATATTTTACTCATCTTATACCCCCCTTGATTTTCTAAAGTTACTCCAACCAAACATCATGAAGAAACGTACAATATGAGGCGCCATACCTCCTACTCAGTCAACACTTGCTTACAGTGTATCGCAGTCACTATTGTTCGGGAGAAAGTTTAGTACCTACTAGTTTGCCTCCAGGGGATAAATAGCAGGTTTTATTAGGCATTGTATATTTGTTTTTGAAAAAATAGTAACCTATCAAAAAAGGTAGTATTACCAGTCTTGCAGTTCAATGCATGTGACTTTTTATCACCAGTCCAATCCAATGCCTGTGATCAGCAATAATTTGTTGTATGGCATGCATCTTTTATAACTTTCTGCTTTTTTATACTGTACCTTGATTCAATATTGCAGGAAACAAACATAAACTTGATCATTACTGATTACTGCATGCCAGGGATGACAGGAAACGATCTACTAAAAAGGGTGAAGGTACTAAGCTGACCTTAGGGACTCTGTCTCTCTCCAAAACCTTTTTTTGCTTCCACACTTTCAGTAAGTAATGGCTATTCAAAACATGTCTAAATGGCAGGGATCCTCCAATTTGAAAGAGATACATGTGGTCATCGTGTCATCGGAGAACGTCCCTACCAGAATCAAGAAGTAATTACTGAAGCTGCAACCAAATATTAATTGCTTCTAGTTTTGTCACAGATACCAACATATTATCCCATTTTTCTATTTTCTGACTTTGTTTACCAAATATAGGTACAAGGTACTCAAGAATTTCTGCTAAAGCCTCTCAAAACAATCAGATGTTAAGAAATTGAAATGTCATATGACCAAAGTAACCAAACCAGGCCATACATCGGGAGGTAAAACAATAGTGCATCCAGTGGCTGGAAGATGCAGAAGATACAAGAGGAAAGATAAAGGAAAAAGGGACCAGAAATTGTGACTGTCACTAGGGAATATTGACTATTGATTCAAAGGAAAGAGAAAACATTGCGACATCATTCTTTATCTAATTTTTTATTAGCTATTTTGAATCGATCCAATCAGTCCCTCTTATTTTTCCCAATTTACTTCTGCTAAAAAGCACGTGCTCTCTCCCAAACACCATATATGTTGCACATGCATCAAAACTGAACATAAATCTGGTTCCAAAAGTTAAATAGTCATAGCAGTCATGCATCACTAGAAAACAAGATAGCTTGCGTGTAAACCGTAGCGAAAACACATGACCGTCAAATGCTAAAAAAACCAAATTATTTGAATTAGAATGTTTATCTAGTTAAACTTGATAAGAGTATTGTACCGTTGTCTAAGTTCTTTATGCATGTGCTTCCTTCAAACACTGCACACGTAAAAATTGAAGGACACAGCCTCGAGCATCATAACCTGACCATTTTGGTGAACACTGGGACTTTGTAACTGGCTGCCTGCTTCTGTAACTGGAGACTTGCTGTCTGCTTCTGTAGCTGGCAAAGCACAAAGACATTTTTTATTCTCATAAGACTCATCTAAAGATCAGGATCAAAAAAGAGAATTTCTACCTCCATCTCCTGCTTGACATCTAAGTGCAGATTGAGTATCCTGATTTTTATCTGAACTGTCCTGATCCCCCTTCAATACAGTGGATATCTCTACAGATGAAGATGTTTCTTCTGCACGTTCAGAATAGTTAAACAATCTTGTCCTGTCCACTTCTGGAGTTTTTTCTTTTGGTTCCCCACAGTCACTACACTTATTGACAGAACCTGATCCATCCAATGACTTCTCCTTTCCTGAAGACAAACCTTTGCACCGGCCAGAAACTTCAGTTTTTGGGTCAACTTGCCTGCCATCAAATACCTGCATATCAACACCTTTATCTCCACCGCTCAGGAAATCAGGTCTCTTACCTACATCTCTTACAACATTTCCTGTAACTGTGCCCCGGGAACCAAGAACATGCAATGAATCCTCGGACCCACAGCCCTTCTTGGGGTCCTGAAACAAGTTCTGGTAGGCACACCTGGGGCTATCTAGTTCAAAAATCATTGGTTCAGACATAAAACAAGAGGAAGCATATTCACCAGGATATTTGATAGACCCTTTGAGGTTCGGTTGGTCAATGTGTAACTTAGGCTCCTGGTCACTAAGGGCATCTCCAATCGATAAGTCTGAACATGTGCATACATGTTTTTTGGACCCTGAAGTTTGGAAGAAATATCTGGATCTTGAATTTGGCTCTCCTGGATCACGTCTAGCCTCCCTCAATCCATAATTGTTCAGGTCTGACCTCTTCTCATAGAAAGCAGGATGGTAATCAGCTGCCTTTGCACTTGGTTGGTTCAGTGGCCATGATAACTTCGTTGGCTCATCCATTTCTTTCCCTTGCTGAATATCATTCCTGTTGCAGTTTCTTCCCTTAGCAAATAACTTCTCACACAACTGGGTCTCCTTGCTCCAATCGGATATATCCTGGCTTCTCCTTTTATTATTTGAGTTCATCTTTTGTTGTTTGTCTAAGTCACCCACCACTGGATGAGAGAAAAAAAAACTGATTATATTGCTCAAGTCAATAAGGCAATAAGTACAAATGACATTGACCTGCAGTGGACGAAGATGATTCTTCGCTGAAGAGAAGTCAGTACGTCCATGAGAATAAACTGGATCAGTTCATTAGCAATTGAAAGGCTCAGAAGATAAACCAGTAAACTGAAAGAACTTCAAATGGCAACCTCAATAAACTCAAATTGTCCCTTGCATCTTCATTTGCAAACCACGTCCCCTCAGCATGGTCTATATAATCCATAAAATGAGGATTTGTACATCCCATGGAAAACCTGCCAGCCAGAAATAAAAGAGTTTTAACCAACCAAAGAACCCTCCTCACACATCTACAGAAAAATGTGCTTACCATTCTCCATCTGAGACACTGAAATCTCTGATAATCTCTGGTTTGAAGTGCTTGGAATAGGGAGTAGGTGAATCTGTTTGAGTGAGATTAACACGTGATAACCACAGAAAAATCGACATATTGGGACAAGCTATACTCTCAGTATTGTCCGGATAACAATTCAATAACACTCCATTTTAGTTCCCCATATTGAACAGTTCTTCATAGTTTTCAAACTTGACCTTCCAATCAAAACTCGAGAAGCAACAACAACAACCCAATATAATCCCACTAGTGGGATCTGGGGAGGGTAGTGTGTACGCAGACCTTACCTCTACCCTGGGGTAGAGAGGCTGTTTCCAATAGACCCTCGGCATCCTTCCCTCCAAAAACTCCCCACCTTACTCTTGAGGTGACTCAAACTCACAACCTCTTGGTTGGAAGTGGAGGGTGCTTACCATCAGACCAACCCACCTTGTCAAAGTGTACAAAACAACTAAAATGATCATAGTGTACAGCTTTTTAAAGAGCATCTCCTATAGCAGAAGCAAAACAACTAAAATGATCAGTGCACAGCTTTTTAAAGAGCATCTCCTATAGCAGAAGTGTAAAGCACCTATTATGTTGAATTTTGATTTGGCTCTCGTGCTGATCCTGCAAGGACAAGACCCGCTCAGTATAGAACAAAAAATACCGTCAAATTAGGAATTGAGGTACCATATGAGAAACCTTTGCTTCTGATGATACAAGTCGTCAGCATAACTCCCTTGCTTCCTATAATTTCTGGCACTAAAAGAATTGGATGAACCCCCATAATAACAGTCCTCAAAGTTGAATTCTTGCAGCCCACAACTTTGGTTATTCCAAAAATCAGTGGAACTAGCATCAAAATGATATAAGTAGCTCCTGCGTGGTGAACCACAATCTTCATGAAAGCTTTCGGGGAGTGGGAAGCTGGAATTTGCTGGATGCAACATAAAAGACGGTGTAGTTATGCCACTTGTTAAACGAATCAAAACCTTAGAAGATGTGGAAGTGCAAAAAAGTTCGAAAATTTTAAGCAACTTCAAAAGCACTTCTCCAATTTGAACTCTATGCTACAAGTATTAATTATGCATGCCTCTTGGCAGAAACATGATTAGTATTCGTGAACTGTCAAATATAATGCCGGAAATTCAAGTTTTCGAAAGATATATGTATGAAAACGTAAACGTCTGGACAAGTTACCATGTTGTTAATGTGATGTTCTTTTTAGCTTGCAAAATTCCTCGAATTCTTTTTGTCCAATAGTTCAAGGAGATTTTTTTCCTAAAACTGAGTTTGCAAACTTCAAAGCAAGAGCCACTAAGGAATTTCAAAGTTAAATTCTACATTTTTTCCAGTAAAAATGAAGAGCAATTTACCCTAATAAGAAAGATACTCAAGAAACCAACTCAACTCCGCTTTGGAGATGTTAACATAGAAGCCAGAAAAGATGAGGAGAAGACATTAAGGACCCTACCATTCCAAATTCTGTTTGAACTCTCCTTGCTTTTGCCGAAGATTTCTTCATTCTCAAAAGTATACAGATCAGTGAAATTGTTATCACTAGGGGAGAACCATTTGGTATCTAGTAACTCCTGTTCCGCGCTGCCACGTAAATCTGCTGCTCCCCTGGAGCAAGAGGATCTGTTTAAAGGACTCGTACAAAAAGGTAGTTCTACGTCCACCATCATGCTATCCTGTTGTGCAATCCACACAACCAATTAGGGCTGGTATAACGGAAGGACATCTGCATTGCCAGAAGCCCAGAACACTGCTAAAATAACCAACTGTCTTTTTTGCTTTTTGTTTTTCTTTTAATACAGTGAGGGGTTTATTTTTTTTTATTTTTTATTTTTAAAAAGCATGCCTATATCGAAAAGATGATGGAATGGAATAGAATAAAGGTATTTCCTCATTTTCAAGATCAAGAGCATAAAATCGCTGTACATATCAAGTGAAGCAATAAACACGGAATCTGTAGAATTTAAGATACAGGTGAGGCATGCCCACCATTTAAAAACCAGACATACTGAAACTAAAAGGAAACATAAAGTTGTTGGAACCCTGGAACTTGGTTTACTCAACCATCGGTAAAGCCTACACCCGTTTGATACCATAAGGTATAGTAGATGAAGAGGATGTGTTTGGTGTGGCATAATTAATATAGAACCTTGAAAACTATTTCCTATATCATTTTTATTTGTTTGGTTGGATATGAAGATACGTGAGACATGATAGTGATAGAAAGTGGAGATAGGGCATGGGTGCGATGTTTCAAAACAGGTTGATATGATGGTTACATATTGGTTTAAGTATGAGATCTGGAGTAAGAGTTTATATAATTGTAGACAAATAGGCATATGCTCATAAAAGCCAAATTCCTGCTTTTTCATCAAGAAAACATTTATCCTAAGTACACACACCAGACAAAAAATGAAGCTAGAAAGAAATACAGCAGTAAGCTTACAATTATGGGAAATGAAGTAATAGAAGCACTAAGATTTCTGCAGGTAATGGTCCAGCATCCCATGGAAAGGAGAGACTAATAAAGATAGAAGGTGATAAACTCAGAGAGGAAGTGCTAGTCATAAAACATGCAGCGAGCTAGCAACCCTAACTGAATGAAAATAGCATCAGGAAGTGCTCTCACCAATTCACATTCAATGCCATTTGTCCCTCTGTTAAGGTAGTCAAATGAAAGAGCTTTTCTCCTAGCCCTTGGGGGTGAGGACCTACCACACGATAAGGGTCTGCAGTCATGCAACATAAAAGCAGATTTAGCAGGAGCAACTTCAAAGATTTCCATGCAACTCTGTGTGGTGATAGCGATAAAGCATAAAATATGTCCATAATCAGCTTATTGAAGCATGAAGAGCTAGACTATTAAGTATGCCAATTTAAGGTCCTATGTAAGATTGACTTTTCCATTGAAAGTTGGTGCATCCAAATACTGCAACCTGAGAATCAATCAGGTGTCTAGTACTTGCAAAGAATCCTCTCTAGTATTCCAAAATGTAATATAAGTATGAGGCGTGCATGCATTGATTGAACATATATCTATGGCTTTGATTTTAAAATACATAACCCTTAGGCACACTGTGCATCCCATAGAGGTACTCAGAGCACTTTCCAGTGGCTAGATTACCTCAGCTTACCAAGTGAGCATTATCAAGGATTTGGGTGGTTATCTGTGACTGTATTACTTATTTGCTTATCTGGAAATACTTAAGAACCTCTACTGGACTTCTTGCTGGATGCAACATTACTGTAAACTACATCCATAACATTAATACCTCATCCTCTGTTTACGAAAGCTTTATGTCAGTGGCAAAGAGGACTTAGTTCAAGCATACAATTTTATCATCTATGATGATCTGTTAACAGCCAGATGATCTCCTCAAAACCTGGGAAATGTAATGCATGGCTGTCCAAATGTGCAGATGTTGTTTTCAGTCAATAAAACTGGTAGAGGCAGCTTTCACGGTTGGTTTTAAATTTGGAACCTATCTATCCATAATCTTGACTTCCAAAGGTAGTCCTAACTACTACTTATTCAGGAGGAATCCATTTATCCCTTTTTGGTTGTCATAAAATCTCGTAAAGATGGCATTTGCAAAATTATCATTCATGTTCTGTTATTCTTGATGCATAAAGTACAATTACCTGCGAGGTACCTGCGGTGAATGGAATGGTGTAGACATTTCAACTTTACCTAAACCTAGCAGACAAAAAGGCATTTGATCAACTATCCATTCTAAAAGAACTGAAGGCACGTATAAAGAAAGATAGTTCTTCACTCCTTTTCCCTGCAAACTAGAAATGATCCATATAAAGAGCATAAAGTAGAAAGCAAAATGAAGAAATAATGATAGGAGTAGCGGACAATGATATAATTATAATTAGAATTGTGATGAGAAAAATTATATAGAAATGTAATTATAAGTAGAATTGTGATAGAGAAAAATTATATATATACATATAACTAAAATCATAATAAACAAAGAGTCATAAAGGAAGAATGTTAAAAAAAAATCCAAACGATAGCGTTAAAAAGTATATATTAATTAAATTTCTCATATTAAGAAATTTAAGTTATTAAATAAAACTCATAATTTCATATTGAAAATAACAACAATATAAAGATAATATTAGGATATTTATACATAAGATAAGGATATTATTTATATAACAACAAAATAACAATTATTAACAATATTGGTATTACAAAAATAATAGAAGGCTTATTTCTTTATATGTTTGATGAATTCAAAATTATAATTTGGTAAAAAAAAATGCTACATTATTTTAGTTATAAGTAAAATATAAAATGAGAAAACTAATCAAGTATTACAGTAGAAAAGAATGTACCGGGGGAGGGGGTGTAAAGATAATATTAGGATATTTATGCTTTGAATTAATTTTATTTTTTTTAAGTAAAAGGTAAGTAAATAACACTCAAAATATTTTTGATAAATTTAGACAATTGAAGAATTTTTAATAGTACAACATACGTTTAAAAATAATAAAAATATTTTCAGAGTAATAAAATACATATATCTATTATATTAAAAGAAAAATAGTAACAAAATATTAACCCAATTGACAAGTTAATAAAAAGTTACATTAGTAAATGTATAGTACTAAGTACTTTCTAATTTAATAAAGAATAAAATATGGAACAAATAATTTATTCGATTACGATTTAATGTGTATCCTTTAAATTTATATGAATTTTGTTATATTTCCGCACATTGCATTAAAAAATACTATAGCAACTAAATTTATTGAAACAATATGATATACCAGTTTATAATTTCATAAGATTAACATTCTTTTAAATTATCCATGCATCGCGGGGGTTCTAACATTGTATCCATCCTAAAAGAACTGAAAGCACATATAAAGAAAGATAGTTCATCACTCCTTTTCCCTGCAAACTAGAAATGATCCCTACAGAGAGCATAAAGTAGAAAAGCAAAATGAAGAAATAATTGCTAGAAAATAGCTACTCTATGATATTTGTAAAATGATTCGTAGGAATAGCATAAAGTAGAAAGGAAAGTGAAAGAAGTTAGTTGACCTTTTCTTCCTGCTTGTGGATAAGCTATCAGTCTCTCAAAAGAAAATAAATGTAATTGATTTGTGGTCAACCATCGAATGTACCTTCAATCGAAAATGCAACATGGCCTTCATGAGTTGAACTTTCCAACTCGCAGCTCGGTCCATCATCACCAAGTATATCAATGATAGATAGCTCTGCAGAATTAGATGAGATGACAGTTCAGTAAATGGGAATCATTTTTTCAGCTCTGACATTTCAAACCAGAGAATTCTCTTAGGAAGTGCTTTTTGGTGTACGCCATTAAATTTGCAGTTGATAAACTTCTATCATGTATAGTCAAAAGGATACCTTAATTTAATATTTTGAATTTGTAGTTCCAAGTTCCAATTCTATTAACAAATTGAAATAGAAAAGGAAGTGTTTCCAATCAGAATGTTTTTACCCTATTGCTTAATATATTTTGACAAGCCATTTCGACAAGTTTTCTCCGTACAGGTTATTACTACAAGCTTACAGGCAAACACTTCTATACAGTATTCATTTATAGTACTCACGCATGCCTGTAGAGCTGGTCAGTGGATTTAGTTTGTCATCAGAGTTGTACAAAGCTTTCGCATGACATCCAGGTGCTCCAACTGATGTACTGAGCAACATCAATGATTAATTGAACTTTTTTCAGCAAAAATGATTATTTCTGAGACATTACAACCAAACATGTGAAATACTAAAAGAATGCAATTCATGGAGATTCTAGGCATCCAAACAAGTTGCTAGCATCTAAGTCAGGCATGAACTCGAAGCTTGTCTATCTGCACTTGTTTAGCAGCCTTTCATTTAAAATAATTTACTCAAGAAAGATTCCTTAAGGAGTTCTTTTCTTTTAAATATTTATGCAATCTAACAAGGATAAATCTATGAGAATTTTATGTTTATGCAATTCAATATGGATAATCCACTCAACATAAGCATACTTACTTCTTTGGGCAGGCAACATAATCTTGGAAGCTTGGTGAAGTTCCTATTAGGACAATGGAGCACATTACGTCCGAATGACAAGAAAAAACAATTATACTCCTCAGCAAACTAGCTTTTGCCAGAATGCAAGTATAGTAGTATACTACCTTCCTTATGTTGAAGAGAGCCAGCAGAGATGACTTCATTGTGTTGAATCACCGAAGAACACCGTAGCATCTGATTGTGTGGAGTAAAGGCATTTCCCTCATAACTATGCCTTGCTTACATAGTGATGCAAAAGAAAATTAGGCCACAAAAGGGGGATTATGAATCGCTGTGCAGTTGAAGGAAAGAGGTATGACTCATCACATAAGGAAAATAGACAAAATGCAATTTAACATGTTCACATTGCACAATTAAATTTTGTGTTAAACACATATTGCAATCTCTAATTGATAAAACATATATATTAGGTTGTCTGATATCACTGAAAGACTTGGAAATGGTAGTAAAGACAATCGTGAAAGAAGAATTCTAACAGTACCTGATAACAATTAATTGCTCAAAGACATTAAATGCTAATGAAGCTGCATACTTTTGCAACTAGTTCAGAAGTTTACTTTGAGTTTTGAAGAAAGTGAAAATGCACATCATTCATTTTGATTTTCACAAATTTTAGGGATTCTAACTCCAAAGGCTGAACAGATTGAGATACAAACTTCTTTGAGAAGTAAGATATCTCACGTAATATCTCTGTACCATTTCAAGTTTATCGGATGCCCCAAAAGGGACAATCGCTTACACAATATCTCTGAGCTAACTCGTAAGAAGAAACATGAACAAGCATCAAATGCTATAGCCAATCACCCTAAAACACACATAGGGATTTATAATATGCTTAAAGTTTTTGAAGAGATAAAAAATTAAGGTCAATGTACCTGAGTGGACATTTGACTTATGTTCCCCAGAATCTGTAGATAAATTTAGTAAACTCCGAATATCCAGTGAACGACTACTCTTTTCTTGCTGATTACATCGGATTTTCTCCTCAAAGAAGCTCTCTCTTGCATCTGTTTTCTGCTGTTCTTTCCGTTTTCTTTGCTCAAAGTATTGCTGTTGCCTGTAAGATAGACCAACTACATCTTAGTCTAAATCCCTGTACATTGAGTTAGACAACATTCTCTAAGAATCTTTACCAGTGTTGATGTTGAGGAAGCTAAAACTATTATCAGAACAAATAAAGACAGTTGTGTGATGTTTCAATACCTTTTCTGTGTTGACCTTCTTGACTAATGTTTTTCCATCCCGCGAAATAATAACACAAATCAATAGAGAAAGCATCAGTATGAGAACATTCCCAAAGCAATAAGATTAACTTACTGAGAATGATGGAAACAAATCAAACTTGCAAAAGAACAAGCTGATACCCTTCAAGGAAAGATGAATATTTTTTTTCTTATATCTTTTTCCTTTTTAATTTTAGGGGGTGGTTTGAGTTGAACATTATCACGACAAATCTGCAAACTGGCTTGTACACCATTAAACTCACATAAAGAAAGTGTAAGAGGTCATCTTTTTCGAAAGAAGAGTTCTGCCATGACTAAATGGATTAACGATATTTTAATTCTTTTAAGAGTATGTTTGAGCTCCCAATCTTTAAAAGGTGATCTTCATCTTTCAATGATACATTATATAACTCCTCATTACTGTACTAACCACACTTTTACGTTAAAATCCATTACAAGCTCCAGAGACATGCACTACTAAAGATCAACTAATAAACCACACTAATGAGCATTGAGTTGCAGTTCTACCTAACTGCAATTTGCTCAATTGTGCTTCCAAAGTACCCCATGAAAGAAACAATTTATTTCCGGAAAAGAAAAAAGAAAGAAACAATTTATTTCCGGAAAAGAAAAAAGAAAGAAACAATTTATTTTCCAAATTCAGAAATATGCAGGTATATCTACAGGATAATAAGTTATTTCCTTTGACACTTACAGTATCGACTTTCCTCCTTGATCCACCCATCCATTGTAACATTGTGGCAGATATCTTCCTTGCAGCCTCCACTAAATCGTGAAGAGATAATTACATAAGGACCAGAGGGGAAAAAGAAGGAAATGAAAAACAAGTATCACTTAAGTGAAATAATCTCTCAGGTAGGTCAAAATCATATTAGTTTTACAGGCTAGTAATAATAAGTTAAAATATACAATGGCTAATCTCTGCCTCTAAAATTTAACATGCTAGATTATTATAAAGTGGAGAAAATGTCATAGATATTCTTCTATGATTACTTACTTAATGATGAGTTTCACTATAAGTTTTAATCAGAAACTCGAAAACAGATATAATCATCTTATCGACACATACAAGAAAGCTAATGAAATCACAAACTTTTGATGTGCTCCTATAAAAAGATCACTCAATACCTAGCCAATGACAGAAACTAGATTGCCTCCACAAAATGCCATAGCATCAGTCATATCACACATAATCAAGTTTTAGCTTCCAACACCAAAAGACATGCTCACATACAGCAAACCAGCAACTGTTCTAAGATACCATTCAAATAGAAGATGCATATTAAATTTTGATGTCAAGTCCATAATTATCCCATTTGGAACAAATCAGGACAATTAGAAGTAACAGAGATGGACTTTACTAGTATTATTAACTCAATCCTCACTACAATAAAAATTCTTTTTAGCGGCAATAGATTTTAGCTTCAGCGGAAATAAAAATTGCCACTAAAACCTTTACCGGCAATTATTTATTTGCTGTTGTATCCAGCGTCGCTAAAAGTTTTAGCAGCAATTCTATCAAGTGCTGGTAAAGACACCAATTATTGCCGCTAAAAGTTATTTATTTTTAGCGGCCGTTAGTACTGGCAATTATAATTGTCACTAAAACTCCAAACTTTTAGCGGCCGTTAGTACTGGCAATTATAATTGTCACTAAAACTCCCTAAGAAATGTGCTATATCATTCATTAGTTGCCTCTATTATTACCGGCAAAAATCCATTAAATGTTGGTAAAAGGTGTCTCTTTTAGGGGAAATTATAATGGCGATTAAAACTATTCTTGAAATCACTTTTTGTCTCTTCTATAGCTGACAAAGATTTATTTTTCTCATAATCCTAATACCAAGAAATGTTTGCATATTTTTCATTCAAGTTGATCCCAATATTATCAATATGATAATACTTGACCTTAAAAAGATTCAATGAAAATACACAAAAGCTTTTAATAAAACAAACTAATATCTATTCTAAAAGCACTATGTATTTCATGAAATCCATAGCGAACAAAACAACTTCTAATACATAATGTCAAAATGTCAACAATATAAGAGAATAAACCATTTGAATCTAATGCCATTTCAAGTCTAACAAGTATCTCTTCAACTTTTGATTATAATAAAAGTATTCCGTAAGAAATTACAGCTTGAAGATCCATTTGTGCACCAAAATAATAGGCTAACCAACTTACAACTCTATCTTCTTACTGCTCTGAACCAACCTTTGAGGAGCTGCACCAAACTAAGATTATACAAACTCTCAGAAAAAGAGCTCCTAAGAATGAACACAACAACTACCACTTGTCAGCATGCACCAAGCATGTTTGAAGCTCAATTCCAGAATAGCCATAGCACAAATGAAAGCAACATACATGATTCTTTTAAAAGGCACAAGTGTAGTGAATTCTACTGTAAAAGAAGGCAAATACCAATTAAAACTTCTCTAAGTAACTCAGAAAGCATTAAATTTACACAAATTAATATCCATTTAATTAATTTGATATTCATCTAGCTCAACTAAGTAGGACCATGGAACTTTAAATTGAGAAAGCTAAACATATGGCTTTTGTACATGGAAATATCTACTTGAAGAAGAACAATACAATTGTAAATTTAGGAATAATATGCATGTAGACCCAAATTTTAAGCCCGGCGTCAATGGTCTATGATGTATAGTAAGAACAAGTTCCTTTGTGTCTGACCAATTACAAAAGATCAACATACTGAATCAAATATGAAATTGTGTAATTAGTTTCTCTACTTTAGACTTCCAAATCATGTGTGAACTAGGAAATAATATTAAGGTAAAAAAAAAGAAGTTTCCATTACTTGCAGGTGCTCTATTTCTTGAGGTAGTGGCCATCAAGAAACATGGAGATACATAGATAAAATTCTAGTGCTTTCTTCTCTTTTTCGTGCAGGTACTTAACCTTAGAAAATTGTATATTCCGGAGTTTGAGAGCATCAACTTTATTAAGATGACTTTGGAAAATATTTGTAGTTCAATATACCTTGTAAATTTGTATTAAAGAAGTTATTTATTAGTAGGAAAAGAACTTTGTTTAAATTTTAGAGTGACTATTGGCAATCTCTATGAGCTCAAGATTATTAGGATTAGAAAAAAATAATAAAATGCATCTATGTATGCAGGTTCTGCACATTGCCAATCAGCAGATTGATAAAAAACTAAGATCGACTTAATTCAAAATCTAACAGTTGATGCCCGCTGATAACATAATATATATCAGAAAGCTTAAAATGTGGATAGAATCTATATACAAAAATCACAGAGGTTTTGAATGGCATACCTTTTATATTGTGTATAAATGATAAAATATAACATCTAATGGTGAGAGCTAAGAGTCATCAAATCAAATTTATATATATTCGTGAAAGCCTAAATATCATAGCATCAAAGAGGCAATTTCAGCCACAAGAAAATAAAATCCTAAAGTATTAAACAGATGCAACAAGCAATTATAAATGAAATAGTGTTTTCTCTAATATTCCACAAGTAATATATTATATAGCCTTCAATGACACTACCAATTTAACTAATGATTCATAGACAAGGAGTCTTGTAACTGAAAGGTGACGGCAAAAGATGAATGCATATGTGTATCACTCTAACTTCATCCTAAATATGCATTACCTAATGATCAGCTTAAGGAGTTCTATTTACCATAAAATTTGATATGTACCCATAATATGATAAGAAAAAATAATACTGTGTAAATTATTCTACTGAATGAGCATCTGTAAAAAATCATGTAAGAGCATTACCATTCTCAAAATTGTACAGGTGATTTTAGCCAGAGACAAACAACAAAATTAGTTTACATACCTTAAACCTATTTCAAACCTCAAATCAAAAGCTAGGAAATCAAAAATGGTAATACTATCACTGTCAGTATAGGAAACAATAGGTTCTATCAATAGTTCCGATAAATAATATACACATCCATAAAGCAGCTATTGATTTTTCAGGTCCTAAATAACCTTATAATTGAAATTTCTAACCCGATGTCCTAAATAACCTTATAATTGAAATTTCTAACCCGATGTCCTAAATAACGTTATAATTGAAATTTCTAACCCGATGTCCTAAATAACCTTGAGCCTGCAAAAAAATCAAGAAGAATTACATGAAGAAACCAATGAAATTGCATAAGCAGCCACATTCATATCAAGATGAGATGAAGAAATGTTAATATCACGAAATACTCCACCAATTGCATCGAGAAAGAGAGGGAGCATAGAAAATAAAGGAAACTTACGGTTAATCTTCAACGAGGAAATATACGCCGCGTTCGATAGAGAAACAATATATGTCACTCAGACCTTGGGCGGAAGGAATTGATTGTTAGGGCTCAATCTTATTCGGCTGAAAAAATTTGCCCTAATCCTGGCCTTTGGTGAGAGGAAAGAACTAAGTAAATTGATTCCAAAGAGAAATAAAATATTCTTTGGAGGGAACATATATTTAGGGGGAAACTGGAGGGAACATCTAAAATAATAGGTTGGTAAGAAATATATTACTAGTGGCAATTCTTTTCAGTTGCTAGTAAAAAGCTGTTTATTCCCAGCAAATATTTAATTGCCGCTAACCTTGAGCTTCATTAAATGTTTTACCGGCAATTAATCTACTGCCGCAAAAAGTGTTTTTTGGTGTAGTGCCTACATAATTCTACGTGAAAAGAAATAACAATAAACAAATGTCAAGTTCAAGCGAGTGATTACTCGATTTACAAATTAATTGAGGATAAGCATTTAAATAACTAATAGAAAACAAAATCTGACATACTAATGCATTTATGAATCAAAATGAAGAGAAAATATGTGGTTGTTACCTCTCAACAACCATTTTTGAGAGAGATTAGCACACATATGCAGATCAATGCCTTGAGGATTTTGCCATTAATGAAAAGCTTTGCAGTTCTCGTAATGGACCTTCTGAAGAGTGACAAAAGGAGATTCACAAGCCTTTCGTTCCTTAGCAATACGTTTCAAACTCAAGCCTGTAAATTTTCCAAAAGGAAAATGCATCAATATCCGAATTCTGGTATTATATGGACAGAAATGTACTGAGACTCTGTGTGTCGAAAGAGAGAAAAGACAAACATCGTTGATTCCATAACTGATCTGGAAAATACGAAGATATATATATATATATATATATATATACACTGAACAAGAGCGTATGTATTATGTCGTGGATCGTCTGTCGCAGTGAACTCTTGCCGAAAATTCACTGAGATCTATGGATTTCAATATCGAGATCGCCGATTAGATATTTATTGTTGCTAGGCGGTGGTCGGCGTGCTATACTTGTGAATGAATTGTGAGAAACGTGGGAGAGAAGGAAACTTTTGAATTTGTTTGTAACCTTCTTCTATTTAATTTTTCCTATTTCGGACCCGCTTGCCTTCTGGATTCTGACCCGTTAAATTCATACGTTGATACTTGATACCCCCTTTACCCCCACCAAATCCAATAAACAAGGCGCTATTGTACTAAAAAACTACACTACCCATGTAAGTTTGTCATTACATCGCAAAAAAAAAGTGTTGTTTCCACTATGGGTGTTTAACGGGCCGGGTTGACCCGGTTTCAGACCGGTGGTAGGGGGTCGGGTAGGGCTGGGTTTGGGGGGTTGGTCCGTATACATTTTCCTTACCGATAAATCGGACCGGCCAAAACCGGTCAAGAAAAATAACTGTTGAACTGGTTAATCAGACCGGTACAACGGCTATTTTCTGAATATTTATTTTTTTAAAATTCATTTGACCGTTGGCAACGGTCAACTTCTAATTGACCGTTGCCAATGGATATTTTGCAAGAATAGGCTATTTTGGGCAATTGTTTTTCAAAAATAACACTTTTAGTAATTACTAATTTAGCCCTTTGAAAAATTATAAATACACCCTCCCCTTCTTCATTTCTTCACTCATCTCTCATTTCTCAAACTCAAATTCTCAATTCAAGTTAAATCATGCCCCGTGCTTCTAGAGTGCGCTCGTATGTTTGGGAACACTTTGAGGTGGTAGAAGAAAACGAAGAAGTTCACAAAGTAAAGTGCAAGAATTGTGGTCGAGTCTTAAATCTTCATCGAAAGTGGGAGGACAGAGGCTGTTTAAGGAAGCATTTGAAGAGTTGTCTTGAGCATCCTCCAGAAAATCGTATTTAAGTTGATTTGAGACAATTTGTGCTATTTTAAAATTATTAGTCTTATTTATGCTTAATGTTTTAGTTTGTTAGATTAATTTGAAGTATTATTATGCAATGAAAATTTGAAATGTAACTATGAAATCCTTTGAATTAAACACTCTAGAAGATAGCCAAAAAATTCATATTGATTATGAAGAACTTACTACAGCAATGCAAAACCTAAGTTCTGGATTTATAATTTTATATTTAATAATCAAACTTTGAATTTACTCTTTTCTCATTAATTTAGTTGTTGTTAAATGTAAACTTTAATTTACAAGTTTGAAATAAAAAAAGAACTTGCAAATTATAAGTGCAATTTCTTTCCATTTTCATTGTATTCTATTATCCTAAATTCTTAATGAAATATTCAAATATAAGGATTTTAAAGCCTTTGCACCCTTTATTCAAACACTCTTTTTATAAGATTATTTTTTTATTTTATATCTTTACTTTATATTAATATAAATTACGATAGTTATACAAAATACAAAAAAAAAAATCCGGCTCAGAAACGTTCCGGTTCAATATTTCACTGGATGGGCCCGGACCCGTTAAACCTGATTTGGAAAAACCGATAACCAACCCGGATTGGTGATTGGCCACTCACTTTTTTACTCAACTCGGACAGCCCATACCACCCATTTGACATCTTTAGTTTCCACTTCCCATTGCAAAAATTAGAGAGTTCATTTTACCAATAAAATGATGTCGTGACATCTATTCATCATCACAGATTATATTTGGTTTATAGTCCGTTTGGTCAAGTTATAATAATTAACCTATTTTGACAAGTATTTTTTTTTTCAAAGTTATCACGACCCCAAAATCCCTCCAAAGAAGTCGTGATGTCACCTAGTCTCTAAACTAGGTAAGCCTAACATTTACTGTAATAATATTGGTATTTACTAACTTTAAATTAAATTACTCTAACAAATTACAATTCCCAAAATCAGTAGTGCAAGTCATAAGCCTTTCTAGGAGTAGTTATACAAAATAAATACATCATTGTTCTGAAACAAGGGAACATATGGAAATAAGTACAATTGAAGGTGACTCTGAGGCATGCGAACGCTGCAACAGGTTTACCTTGAGTCTCCACCGCAACGATCCGTACAACCACTAACGATCAATTACCTGGATCTATACAAAAAAAATATATACAGAAGAGTAGTATGAGCACACCACGGCGGTGCCTAGTAAGTATCAAGACTAACCTCGGTGGAGTAGTGACGAGGTACAGTCAAGACACTCACTAGTCTAATAACCTGTGCAATATAGCATACAAAGATAATAGGAAGCAATTAACAACGATGGCAACATTATTCAACCAGTGACATAAATAGCAGGGCAACAAGAACACCATAAATATTGCTCAACGAATAATGAATACAAGTGTAATCAATTAGTCAAGTCCTTCAAATATAAACCTTTCGTCTATAAATCCTTCAAGTAATAATCTCTAAGATATAATACTTTCCAATAAATATGTTTCAAATATATTTCCTTCTTTCAAACATATTTCGTTCGAGTAAAGGTCACCTTGTGACGCCTCATTTCATAATCATAAATAATATAGGTCTCATCCTATTTTCATATTTTCACGACATCTCGTGCCCATATTTCTATCACAACCGCACGGGCAACTCACGTGCCATTAAATAAAATCATCATATTTTTTCCGGCACCTGGTGCCCACATGTTTCTGTCTCACATTGCGCAACAACGCTCTCATGTTACTCAGTTCATAGGGTCCATAACCCAATACAATTAAGAATGTTCAAGGAACCTCATTTACTTAATATAAAGTAGAGTACAACTTCCAACTCACTTAGGAAATCAACAAGAAAAGATGAAGTTATTTTTAGAAATCATTACCTTTAACACGAGAAATAAATAAATCAAAACAAAATAGAAATTCCATTTTAAGTAAAAATACGACTTTAGACGTTTTAAGGAGGTTTAATTGAGAAACCAATTGAATTAGAGGTATAACAATTGTTGAAAATTTAAGTATTGAAAGCTTTATATAAATACGGCAAAGTATTGAAAACACTATGGGTCACAACACAAAGGATCACAGTAGTAAAGGGATCTAAACAGTTGATACACTTGAATTGTTAATAACAAAATAACATAGCAAACAGAAAGTGCACGACATCACCCTTCGTGCTTTTACTCTCGTTCTCACCATGCACGACATCACCCTTCGTGCTTTACACTCTTCCTCACCATAAAAATCAATAGAATCGGCACAGAATGGTACATCGTGCAGCACGACATCACCCTTCGTGCTTTACACTCTTCCTCACAATATCATGCACGGTATCACCCTTCGTGCTTTACACTCTTCCTCACCCAAACAATGAAAACAATACATCTCAGCAAGGGAATCAACAACAATCCAACAATCCAATCACAAGGAAATTCACCACCAAGAGTATGATTACATAGCAACAAGAGAATCACGGAGAAACCAAGAAGTGCAATAACCTTAACAAAACAACAAGTCATATAAAGCACGTGATAACTACACCGATAACTACAACAAATTGGACACATAGAATATATACACGGGGTCATAGAGGAATTTCCAATTAAGAGATAACAAAACAATAAGGAGAACAGTTACTTCAATTAAGGCAAATAAGGCCAAGTAACATTTAGAGGAAAGCTAACAACATTGTATGGAGCATATAGAGGTAAATTATGCAATTAGGTAATTCAATCATAACTGAATATTTCTTACATAATGAATGATCACGACCAACTATGCCTTATAAAAAGGACTAAGCGGTCATTGCAAATATAATCCGGTTTACAAGTCCAGAGTCGAACCCACAAGGAATTAACCTATCAATTACTCTCGTTAGACTTCCTAAATTCCACGGAATCACCTTCCCAAAAGTTGTAAATAACAATTGAGGGTATTTCTACTAACTACGAATGAAAGTAAATAAGCAACTGAAAACTAACTATGATTAAGTGTAAACAATTAAGAGAATGTTTTAAGGTTATAATTTCCCCTATTGATGGAATTCCTTCTAGTTATGTTTCACATAGATTCACCAAATAGTCTTTGTCAATCATGATCACTCTTATTACCATAAATCTCTCCTGAGTAATCACGACAATTTATTAGACGCACTCTCCCGAGTTACGCTAGCTAGCTTTATTTATTACAGCTCACTTTAGATTGCACCCAAGGCTTCGTTATCCCTAATCCCGCCTTTAAACCCTCGGTTATTGATCCCTCATATACATTGGGAGTGGTGTTGTTCAATAATTTACCTAAATATGCACTCTCTCCCGAGTTATGCACACTAAATAGGCACAGCTAATTGAGGATTCTGTCAATTAACTACAACAAGCACCAAATAGAGATTTAAACTGGGTAAACTATATTAACATAACAAGAAGTTTATCCTTTAATAGGTTCCATCAAAATCCTAGACTAGGAAATTAGCTACTCATGACAAAACAAGATAAAACTACTAAATTATTCATAATGGGTAATTGTAAGAAAATAAAAGGAGATAGAAAAACTCTAATGTTTGGTTGATCTTCTCACACTTGTTCTTGCCTTCAAAGTAGTCTAAAAACAAGCTTAAACATATCTAGGGCGAGCTTCTAAAGTTTATAAGGGTTTGGGACAAGTTTTCCCCAAGTTACACTTTGGTCCCCAAATTTCTGGCGCGTGAACAGTTCACCGCGGTCGCGGCAAGACCGTGACTCGACCGCGGTGAACGCTGAACATTATGCTTCGAGTCTTGATCTGTCGCGGTTACACCGCGGTTCCACCGCAGTCGCGGTGGAATTCACTTAGTCCATTTTTTCTTCTTTGTGCTCGGGTACTTCTTGATTGGGCGTTTTCTTCACATATCGCCTCCAAAATATTCCGTAGTGCTTCCTCACTTAGATTAATTCCTGCAAAGCAAAAGAACACTATTTAGAGCATTTTGTTATCAATTTGCCTATAAAGCAATGATAAAGCATGGTAATATTAAGGTGCAAATATCATCTATATAACCTAATATCAACACCCCATACTTAAATCATTGTTAGTCCTCGAGCAATCCACCGCATTCTATCAAAATTTCTTCCCTAAGCTTTTCCCTTACGATTCACACCTTGAACAATTTACCAAAATTTGTATCTAGTGATGAACAACCGTTGCCTCAACAGTCGAATCTCTCGT